TCTACGTTCCTCTGCTCGTCTTATTGTCGATCTCTTAATCTATAAGAGATAGAGACACGAAATCTTGATATAGGTGCTTAAAGTATCCTCGATAATCGCTACATATTAATGCCGAAATTCTGTCTTGTGATTAGAAAAGTGTAGACACATCAAGTATCTTTCAGTTTATAGACATTCTCAATTGCTTAAGAGCTCAAAAAAAATTAGTATTTGTTCTTATATTGTACAATTATTATTTATATTCTTGTATTATTAAAACTTCTTTTTCTTTTTTTTTACTATTATTATTTTTAATTTATTTTTCTTTTTTATTTTATTAACTTAAGCCCTTTATCTGTCTTGTTGTTTATTTATCAAAATTTGAATAATCTATTCGAGCTCAAAAATACTTTTAAGTATATTCACGGCTGTTGCAAGCAAATTATAGCCTTAATTTAGAGCCCAACTAAATGAATAATAGTCGTAAATATTTATGAATAATTTGCCCAGATAGCTCACAAAAATGCAATACAATATACATTTGGTTATTGTCTTTTTTTTTTGTTCTGCTGTCACTTCTTACGTTTATGCCAAATTTCGAGGCAATATTAAAAACGATTTCATTTCATTTGGTCAAGACCGCAAGAGTCGCAACGCACAGACAATAAGTAAGGCCAATAAATAAGCGAGTACTCATCCAATGCTCCCCCCTTGGCGCATATGTGTTTATATATATGTATATATATATATGTGGATAAGCGTGACGCGGGGCATAAATGTTCGGGAACAGCAGCTGCATATAGTACATATAAAAAGTTCGGCGGCTTAAGCGCCTGGCCATAAGTCAAGCCACGAATCGGTCCACGCGTCCAGATTCCGCAGTGTGTCCACAATGACGATAAATCTCATCGACACTAAAAATCAGATATATGCGCTATATGAGCCGAGACCAGCGGCAAGTTATGGAGACGGCAGAGATTGAGGGATGGAGAAATGGAGTGCGGACCAGGGTGGCTTGGCGGTTGTGGTGGGGGTGTGGGTAATGCCATTTATATGTCGCCATTAATGTCGTGTTATGAAAGTAATTTTCTTAAATTCGCATATTAAACGTTTTGGCCATTAATAATGAAGCAGCAGAGAGGAAGAGGCGGAGAGGGCGACGCTTGGGCACTATAATAAAAGCAGTGGACAGAGGAAAGCGAAAAGCGAGGAATGCGAGGAAAGAAGTTAAACAAGGAAAAGCGAAAATAACAAATATGAAAATGCTGTGCATGTTCCAAATGATCGCTTCAATAACCACAAAAACCATAAGAAACAGCGCCAGCAGCGAGTGAATGAAGTGAATGAATAAATGAATAACGCTCCGAATGATGCTACCCATGGATGCATGAATATGGCATGATGGACTACAGTACACACACACACACACATACAGCTTAGCCTTGGCACATGATAAAAATTTATTTAGTTAGAGAGCAAATAGAAAAGCATGAGACTAGCGGGAATAATAAAGTACAACGTGAAGCTGGAGCTGCAGCTGGGTTACGTTTTGGCCGGGCAGCAGGAAATGCCGAGGCAGCTATTGATGCGCCATTGTCTAGAGTGGTTAGGCAAACACGCACACACACACACACACACACACACACACTCATTCATATATATATATATATACATGTGCTTGGGCTATATGAGTGCATGTCTGCGGCAAACGCTAGACGAGCGTCCATTTCAGTAGCTGCTGCCTGACTGGGGCTGCCTACATGCAGCAATAAAATGTGTCTATCAAATGTTGCCCATTTCCATTTTGTCCTATTCCTTTTGACCCAAAAGCGTAGAGTATTACAGGATAATTTCATTCGTTGCCTTGGCTTTAGCCAAAAAGAAAGAAAGAAAAAAAAACGCCACCTTATTTTTTGTTGCTTAAGTTTTTTCTCATTTTAAACGGAAAATATTTCTTTCAATATTCGCTTCCACTTTTAATTGCAGAATTTTTTTTTAATCTTAGCATTTTGGTCTGAGCAAAACATTTGATACATTAAAAATGTTTATTTTCCAAATTTTTAAACGGAATAAGAAATACAGACTTCGTTTGCTATTATTCATTATTTTCTCAATGGATTAATTAATACAAAAAACTATGTTCAACAGTTTCCACAATCTTTTTCTTAGCTATATAATTTATAATTATGATATATTATTTATTATTATTATGAATGACCCTTAAATATTACGGTATTTCTTTATATATTCTAACTTTTCGCCCTTTCCCTTTTTATTGAAGGGCATACACAGTTCGTCTTTAAAAATGACTGCACTTTTGTTTTGCATTGCTTTGGCTGTGGTCGCCTTTCCTGTTGCTGTTTGAATGTTTGTCTATCGGTCGGTGGGTCGTTTGGTCCGCAGTCCGTTCGCCTGCTCGCCCGCTTGGCCGGCCGACGTTTCCGTTTCCGGCGCCTGTACGCCATGTTGATTTTGCCTGGCCCTTTGTTGTTGTTGTGTTTGTTTCGTGCTCTGTCTCTGTCTGTGTGTGTGTGTGTGTTTTTGTGTTTGTTCTCTGGGTTAATGTGCGCACTCGACTGTGCGCAAATTGCTCAAGTGTAGTTGAAGCTGTCCATTCAGTTTTTATTCTCATATTGTGCGATATTTAAAAAAAAAAACCTAAGCACAAATTTCTCATACCTAATTGCCGTCGGCCCATTAGTTTTATCATCGTCATCAGCAGCATCGGCAGCAGCGGCAACATCATTATTAACAATGCTTTTTATCATCATCATTATTATCATCTGGGGCATTATTATTTCACTCTCACAATGGCACCTTTCCCATTGTTGTGCCTTGTGCCTTGCGCTTATCTGACGGCCATTTGGTCGCTTATTGCAATGTCTTACATTCTTATCATTATTAACGCCTCCCTCCCATAACCATGCCCGCATCTATTCGCCATATACCGGCCCATGCCCCATCCCGCACCCCTTGTGCTATTCTATTCCAGTGACGACACTCGGCGGGCACGTTGACAAAATGACAATAGAAACAGAAGTGGCACGAGCAACAAAATTGGAAACTAACAGACACGTCCCCAATACGAATTCTCATTGCTCTTTTTGAAATTTAGAAATTGTAGAAATGTATGTTGTTTACCCTTTGGCAGTGTTTAAGACTCCTTTAGCGCAATAAGAACATCTTCAGATGATCCTAGAGTCTTCTCAATCACACGACACGTGCTTAATACCCTAATGCTGGTAGAGTATCTAGGAAAAAAAGGGTCAGGTAAACTTAAAAAATTGCCCAGGTTGCGTTTCTATTGATTTGCCGGCGACTTTTCTTATTTCGTTCGCTGCCTTCCCTCTCAGCCAAACCGGGGAGCAACCCATTCACAATATTATATCATTGCTTAGACTGTGAACCTTTTGGCCCTTTGGCGTGTTGTATCTGTTGCAACCTTCTCATGGCATCCTCCTTTGTGTCTATTTATTAGCGCTACCTTTCGCTTGTCAGCATTTCTTTTACCTTTTCAACTCCCTTCTTTTTGTTGTTGCCAAGTTTGTTGTCAGCTTCATTTTGTATTTGCAAATCATCATTATTATTTGCATCTGAGCATTTTTATAGAATTTTTTTTTAACACGTTAAGATATATGAGTGGCTTTTGCCTTTTTTACAATGTTTTTTTTTGTCGTGTGTCAAATTTTGGTACCTTAATTTTTATGTTAGTTATTTTCTTTTCTTCTTCCTTTTTTTGTTGTGTGCAGCATCCCCTTTGAATTCTCTCTGGCCCCCACGGCAACATTTTTATCGAACTCTGGCAATCTACTACGTCTAAGGAGGGGTTTTCAGGTGGGCTAAGAGAAGGGGGGAGGGGGCGTTGTTAAGGGACTTGCCGGAAATTGTAAATTTTTGTTTGTTGCCGCGTCGTGGCTTTATCTGCGCCAGCTACTTGGGAATGGAAATGCGATTGCGAATGGTATTTGGATGCCATACAAAGAGCCTCTGTGAGTGTTTTGAGTGTACTCAAACTCGTACCATATGCGAATATCATTGAGTTAGTTGTGTGTTGGATATGGAAACCAAAGAAAGGAACTCTTATTGCGCTGATTATTGAAAGGAAAACTGAATTCAGTGCAACTTAAAGAAATTTCAATACATTTCAATGTGTGTATACTTGATATTCGAGGAGAAAGATATATGACTAAATGCTGCTACTTTTGACATGGGTATCCTTTTTATTCATTGGGTCTGACAATTTGTGAACAGTTGCGAGCACAATAATTTATGAATATATATATATTTATACTTTATATATTTTATTTATATATTATATCATGTAAGTAATTATTATCCTTATTATACCAAATTTATTGCAGCTAATGAAAAACAGTTTTAATAATCTAGAAAATTGGCAAAGATTTAAAAGTATTTAAAATTTTTTTTTATTATTAATTTTTAGCTTGTTTAATATGTTATTATTTGTGGTAGACCTTATTTGGGAATTAGAGACCGTCCCGTTTGCCGAGATTCTCTCACGTATTATTATTACCCCGGTCAATTGTGGACTCTTAAGCTAGGAATAATTTACTTTTATTTTCTTGAATAAGCATAAATTAAATATATATCTTATGCTTTTGACATATATTTTAAACAACTTGAAAAGTTGCTGGCCTTAAGGAATAGGAATGGAAAAACTTTTTCAACAAGTTGACAAACTGAACAGTTGCTTCAAAAATTGTTCATTCCAATGTGGCTTAGCTCTAACTTCTCCTGGGTTAGAGCACGCTTGTGTGCGTGTGTGTGTGTGTGTGTGTGTGTGGATGTGTTTGTGGGTGTGAGTGTGCGTATCTGCGCCTTACAACTCGATAATTGCGGCTTCAATTTGACTTTAACGAAAACTTTCACAACTTTTTAACTAGCTACCGCCCAAAGAAAGCCTTCCTCCCGCCCAGCCAACATTCTAAAATAAACTTTTCAACGTACTCAACTGATGGTATTTTTTTTTGTGTTCCTTTTTTTCTCCGATTCTCTTATAGCTGCTGCCGGCGCGGCGCCATCGAAATGTGCTACTACCACTAGACAGAAGCTGTGGCCGCAGCAGGTGGAGCAGAGGGGAGTGAGAAGTGAAGCATAAACTGGCAGCCAGACGGGCCAAAACTGCAGCTGCGACTGGCGAAATCTGCAAACCAAATCCAACTTAAGTCACATCAAATTAAAATCAACAAGCGGCGCACAGAAAAAGCAAGCAAGCAAAAAAAAAAAATAGAAAAAAATATTAGAAGGAAGCCAACTGCAGCTTTTGGCCAAAAGAAATTACAAAAACGAAAAAGTAAAATAGGAGCAGCGCATGAAAATGAAGTGCAATAAAAGTCAAATGGCCACGTTAACAATGTGGAAAATTTTTATGGCTCTGGCGCTCGTAATGCCGGTCACATTAGCGCACCAGCATTCCATGGCCGGCGGAGCTGGCGGCGTCGGTGGTTCTTCTGGACACGGCGGTGCCATGGGCATGGGCGCTGCCTCTGGACTCGGAAAAGAGGCACACGGTAAGTTTGCACGCTGCTTTGTTTGTTGTTTTCTTGATTATTTTAAATGGTCGTCCAGCGGACTGCAACGGTGCTGCAAGGACTGCAGGGTGGAGGGGGGGCTGCCAGGTGGCGCCAATAAATAAATTTAAATATTTAACTAACTCGTATTCAGGAGCTTGCCAAAAACTTTAACACCTCGTTGCCACAGCTCCGAAATGGGGCTCACAGCTTGCAACTTGCAACTTGCAAGCGGAGCACGTGGTTGCTGCTCTGCGTCCTGCCATGGCACGTGTCCGGGCATTTATGATTTCATTTCGCTTTGTTTTTGAGCTTTTGAGCTGCGCCTGCTGCACTTTGTTCCACCTCATTTCCATTGCCTTAGCCCAGACACTCACTCTCGCTCGGCTGAGCGATAAAGGCTCCACTTGCTCGTCTAAACTCTCCATTAGCACAAAAAATACGCTTATGGAATTTAAAAGAAAAAAAAAAAAAACATGTCAGCAAACGAATCATGGAACTTGAATATACTTAACAAATTTAATTTGATTAATATAAATGCTGATTAAAGCTCCGCTGTTCGGTAAGGTTCGGCGTATGGTAATACATAAATGGATTTGGGTGTTTGAACCAGTGCTTGGCTCGACATGCTGTCTTGTTTAGTTGCATTTAGCTGAGTACATTTAAGTACTCGCAGCTGGAAAATACTAATGATATAATCATTCATGATATTTATTGAAGGTCTTTTCTGGAATAACCTTTTGATTAAGTATATTTTTTGATTAAAATTCTGTTTAACTAGCCTCCGAGTATTTTTCCCAATTGTCGCAATTTCTGTTAATATTATTGCCCCATCGATCGCACATAAATCATGCTTATTAAATTGATGTCGCGGCTTTAACTGCGGCTCGGTTTATGCGACTTATTGTCTTTTAGCATTTACTTAGGTTTATTTTCATCCAATCTACCGCCTTGCCGCGAAATAAGCGTAAAGGACAAACACACACAAGATGTCAACGTAATCGCAATAAAAGTAAAATTTACCATTTTGCTTGTTGCTTGTCGTTTCGCTCGACTTTTCCTCCGCCCTCTCTCTTTCTCTCTCTCTCTCTCTCTCTCAACCCGTTACATGTTGTGTGTATTGTATAATAATAACATAAAATAATTTATGGTACATGAAAGTCACAAAAATGCTAGTCATGCCTTTGGCCCTTTGCTGTCCCCACAGCCTCCACCCTCTCCCACATACTTGTACTCTACTCTGCTACCAGAACGGGCTCCATTGGAGCTGTTGGCACTGGCAGCAGTTGGCAACTCGTTTCGGCCGGCTCTTTACAATTTTGTAGCATGTTTTTGGGTGCACCATACACACAAATACACACACACACACACAAGCACACACGCTTATGCACACTCCCACTCTTCTACAACAAGTCGTAATTTCTATGCCTGACTTCGCGTAGTATCCCACAAGAATAGAAAAAATCAAGTAGGTACGTTGAAGCCGGGTGCACACAACTACGTAATACTCTGTTCACAGTTAAAAGCCAACTTAATCAGATAAAATTTTAAATCGAATTACTTTGTTGAAAATCTACAAAGGATATCTGTATTTGCGAGTATGACAAATCTTATCTAATCTCACTTTTAAGCTCTGTATCGAAGATAGTAGTATATATATATAATATAAAAACCAATATACCCTTAAAAAAAAAAACAGATTCAAATAAGGGAGAAAGACTTTTATTCGGTATGAATTTTAGCATTAAACAAATACATCCTTTAGCTAAGAAAACTGAGATCAACTTTAACTTTGTATAAAATGTGCACAAGCCAATAAACCCTTTACAAAATAAAAAAAAGAGTATAGTAAGGGGGAAAACCTTCATTATGTAAAAACATTTTAACGAAGCGAGTACACCCTTTAAAAAGTGCTTAGTAAAGTTAAGGAGGCATAAAATTCTACACAAACCGAATATACCCCTTTAAAAATAAAGAACAGCGTATAATAAAGGACAAAAACTTGAATTCTGTATAAAATTTTTGGGCAACAAGCTGCGCTTTTCTAATGGCAGCAGCGATGCGTCCTGCGTCCTTTGTAATGGAAACTGCGTTGCGTTCGTATCCTTGTCGCCTTGGCTTCAAGGCGTTTGCGCGCATTCGCGTTTTTGGGTCTTTTGTTTTAAAGCTTTTGCTTTGAATCCTTTTGAATTTGAGGCACGCGCTGCATTTGATTTTGGCGAAATTTTGCCGCTCGACGTGAAATTCACAAATTCTGCGCTCGCCGCGCACAAAGACTCTAAAATGCAGCGCTGCAGACAAAAAGGACCTGCCTGGCGGTGTCCTTTGTGCCCGAGCACGTAAATTGTGCAGATAAGCGGCGTAATTTGCTCTTTGTCTCGACACGCCATAATAACTAAAAATTATTCAGCTCCAGGGCTTGCCCGACTCGCAGATACTCCTTGATGAAGACTATTTTCCCAAAATTAAATTCATATTTTAAATAAATTATATACAAGCTCAAAAGTCAACAGAGTCAATATACAAAATGTTCCTATTTGCTTATAAGATTATCCTTAAAATATAAAGCAAGAATTTTTCATGCTCGTATTCTTTGTGCTTCCACTCAGAGTTAAGAAAGTTCAAAAGTTTTTGGAATCTAAGAGATTTGCCATGGGTATGCCAGACCATTAAATACTCCTTAAAAATATGACACACTGCATTCTTTATTTTAATTTAAATTAAACTGAGTTAAATGCAACTAAAACTGCTAGTTAAATGCACACATATGTCTGAGCTAAACTAGTCGATGTTGCTTAATATGTATTTTCCTGTTTGCCAAAGGGTATTTTCAGTCGTTGAGAGTAAACAGAATATGTTGCAGCTGCCTACAAATTTACAACGCTATTAAATTACAACTCACACCCAACAGACACTTTAATGTCTTGCAGATGTTTTCCGGCTCGGCTCGTTTTAAAATATCCCGAAAAGGGAAAACTTTTAACCCCCCGCACATACACACACACAGTCTCTTCCTCTCTCGTTCTCTCGCTGAAATTTGTAGCTTCACTCTTAATTAATTAAAGCCGCAGGTGGGCAACATGAAACACCTGCCAACCGCTTGTCAATTCATCTCAGTGGTAATTAAAAATTCAATGAAAATTCGTCACCAGACCTAACGTCAACTTATTTTATTAGCAACTCCGACAGGCATTGTCTTGGCCAGAGATTTTGCCAAAGATTTATAGTTTTAGCTCGTCAGCTGTCAAGGCAAGGCCTAAAACTTGAGGCATTCCAAATAAATTACTTTAGCTAGGAAAATTTCAAAAGTTTTGTATACGAATTGAATACTTAATCCCAAGATAAGTCCCAAAATGCGACTACTATATATTATAGTTATTCTGGGAGTAATCGTCTGAAGATTGAGTTATTTTTTGAATATATCCTTTTTGTGGCCACGTATTAAATATTTATACAAAAATGTCATCTGTAGATACTGGTTTTTTTTTTTTCGGATCTTTATATGTGTTTGTTTGTTAATCTCAAATGCAATTATCAAGTGCCCAAATAAGTTGTTGTCTTTGCTGTTTGTTTTATATGCTGAAAATCCGCAAAATCCACTCACGATGCGGGCCAGCACAATGGTTAAGCTGCCTCCCGCAGGAATGCACCTGTACAAACTAAACACTGGCCAACAAAAACAAGAGAAAAAGGGCAACCAGCGCACGAATAACAAACACGTGCTCATTTTTGATGACAGTTCTTTTTTGTTTCTTTGCGCTTTTTTTTTTTTTTCAGTTATTCATGTTGTTTTTATACCCTGTAACCCCGTGCAGTGGTTGAGCAAAGGCCTCAACAGATTTAGAGTTTGAGCATGATTTCGTTTCGCTATTCGCCAGATTCTTTTTTGTATATTTATTACCAAAAAGTTTTCAATTTAAGTCAATTTAATTATAGCTTCGATATTCTTTACTTTATTAAAAAAAAAAAAACGCTTTGATTTCCGAAGCAGAATAATTTTAGTTTAGTTTAGTTTAGTTTTTGTTTTTTTCCACACAGCTTTGTCTGACAGCACTGATAGGCGTCTTACAGGGTATCTCCCAGTTGGGCATGCTTTTTTTTTTCATATATTTTTTTCGCATGCCACAAAGTTTGTGCGGGTAACTGCGGCGACTTCTCCCGGAGGCGCCAGCCAACTGCTGCACTCAACATGTTGACAAGTTTTTCGGTTTGTGCGGACAAACTTAGCAAATGGCCAACTGTCAGTTGGCCACTCACTCAGTCAGTCAGTCCGCCATTCAGTCAGTCAGTCAGTTAGTCAGTCAGTTAGCTAGTCCCTCGACTCAGTCGCTGTTTACTGTTACACGTTGCATACTTTTAGGCGCACGCTTAGCTGCATTGCATTACGGCAACAACTCGTTGCACGGGCTCGCTCACTTGTTCTCCCTTTCTCTCGCTCCCTCTCTCTCGCCCTCTCTTGTTTGCTCTCTCGCCACGAGATTTATTATGGCCTGCTTGTGCTTCGTCTCTTGCTGCTGTTGCTCGTGTTGTTGTTGTGGATTTTGCTTCGTGTGATAAAATGCTTGACACTTTTCTAAACGGCCAAAGTTTTTGGCTGGCAAGAGATTGTCGTTTACTGCTAACACACCCGCACCCGCACCTGCACCCGCTCTTGCATTGCACCCCTCACTCAAATTTATCTGCGCAGTCTGCAGCTACTTTTTAATGTGTTATAATGCTTGTCTCTCTCGCTGCCAACGACACCCCCCAACCCCTTTAGCTGCTGCTGCTGCTGCTCAGCGTCTTGTGTCTTTGCAGTTTGTTGACATTGTCTGGCTTACAGAGCGCATAAAGTGGAAATGATTTACGCAGTTGCCCACTCGCATGCATGTGTGCGTTTGTATGTGCATGCATTAGTGTGTGTGTGTGTGTGTGTGTGTGTGTGTGTTTCTGTGCGTTGCTCTGTTTGGCCCAAAGTGCCAAGCATAATAAATAGCCCAGCTTTTGGCCTGGCACTTTTG